CTCACCATCCATGTAGAGGGCTCACTTGCCCTTTGCCAGCAACTGCTCAATATTCAATACTCAATCATAGACTCAGTTTAAATTCATTCACATCCTAATCAGAGGCTGTAATTAATTTAATATTTAATCACCCCTCCTTTCCTTATTTCTTCCTTCCTTCTTTCTTTTTTCTTTCTTCTCACTAAAATGTGTATTCCATGAGGTTCAAAGGAATATACATTGTCTCTTTGACCATTGTACCCTGCAACGATGCAACAACACATAGATTAAGACTCAAAAACAATTTCCTGCATCATGAATAAATTCCTCCAATTCAGAGGAACTGGCTCTAGGCTCTCTCCACTCTTGATCACATAGGGGACCCAAGGATAAATCTTAACCTCTCTGGACTCCACTGCATTCATCTGTAAAGTAAGGTCACTGGATATATTGAGGTGAAAATGGCCCCCAAATTTTGATGCTTGCTTCTTCAATTTTTGTTTTCTTACAATAACACTGGAACAACCAACATAAGGGGATCCTCAGAAGGGAACCTGGATGGGACTTGCAGAAGAGCAGCAGTAGTAGAGAACAGTGCATGCACATCCCAGGAGCCTGGGGCCAGGCTGCCCCTAAGGTGCACAATAGCCTCCCTCCTGCAGTGTGGGAGGTGTTTCTCCATGAAATTCCCCTCCCTGCACAACAGCTTCCCAGTGGTAACCTGACAAAAGGATCACTGGAAGACAGGAAAACAGAATACAAGGAGCACCATGTCTGGAAGGGCCCCTTGCTGGGAGGTCCAGGGTGGGTAGAGTTGACCAGTGAAGGTGTCATGAGGGAAGAGACACTGACACAGACTGGCAGAGATGTACTGGGAGAGCATCTAAGAGAAGAAGGAAAGGAGCATCACTAGAGGGGAACACTGGGGATGCCCTCCTGGAGGGTGACCCAAGCTGCCCTGCCCAGTGGTGCCTCTGCTGCCTGGTGTCAGACTCAGGAAACTCCTCACAGCTTTCAACATAAGGCTGTGCTCTGGGGAGGGGAGGGCTGTGGTTGGGAACTTGTTATTTATTTTGTGCAGGTTCTGACCTTGTGAAATGAGGCAACATTGAGTGGATTATGTTGTCCATCATGTTGACAAAGAAGGTAGATGAATCATTAACTAAGAAGATGGCCACAGGGAGACATGAGCCCTGAAATGACAGAGGATGGCAGGCTCTGGAAGATAGTTGCTAATGGGAAGATGGGCTTGGGTTTCAGTGAAGAGGTCACTTTGAACTAATAGAACTAGCTTGGCAATGATTTTCTTGTGTATTGGACCTGGAATATCCCCAAAGTCTCCTGTGTTCAGAGGTGGACTTTGGGGAAATCATTGAACCATGAAAGCTCTGGGGATTATTCCATCCATGGCTGCATGGACTACTGACTGGGAAATGGGACCTAGGCAGAGGAAGCAGGTCACCAGTGGTGTGCCTGGAAGGGTTCATCTTCTCTCAGTTCCTTTCACCCTCTCTGCTCCTCAGCTGCTGTGGGATGAGCAGCTTTCCTCCACCGTTCCCTTCCACTGTGATGTTCTGCCTCACCTCAGGCCCAGGGCAACAAAGCTGCTGAACATGGACTCAATCCTCTGAAACCATGAGCCAAAATAAATCCTTTCTTCTCTAAGTTGTTTTTGTCAGGTACCTTGGTCATAGCAACGAAGAGCTGACTAGCATATATTTTATTGGTTAAGAAATAAAAGTTCAAGATTCAGACAGAGAAAGTAGAGCTAGAGGGTAGGCAACTTGAATTTTGAAACTAAAATTAGAGAAGAAAATAGCCAAAGGAAAAACCAACCAGAGATAGAGATTTTTTTTTTTCTGACTTGTTTTGCAGTGTTTATTAGTTTATTCTGAGGAGTAGGGATGAATGTGGCCAAGAGGGTTAGAACAGTACAGAGATAACCCTGTCTGTAAGTAAGAGGAAACATGACAGAGAAGACAGAGGTAGCCAAGAAGGATAGAGAGCAGAGGGGTGCACTGTGGAATAACTGTATACATTTTAAATCTGCAGGTTTTTATTTGACACTATTACTTTTATTATCATATTTGGGAATATAGTTGACTTACAATGAAGTGCACATACTTAAGTGTACAGTTGGATTACACTCATGAACTCATCACACAATCAAGATGGTGAACATACACATCCTCATGCCCTTTTGTAATCAATTCTTCCTGTACCACCTTATACCACTGACCTGCTTTTTGTCACAATAGATTAGTTTCAATTTTCTAGAATTTTAAATAGCTTTTAAGTACTGCTAGTAGTTCCTCTATTTTTGTCAGAGTCAACCAAGGATCTGAGTCTCAATCACTCACAGCAGTTGGGCTTTAAACAATCACAGGCTGCCAACCAATCAGACCATATCTCCATAATCCAAATTCACCATTGCATGGTACCTCATCAGGCAAAGACCAACTGCAGCCAATTGGGTTGTTTCTTTAGGTCACTTCATTTTCTCTGTTTATAAATAAAACCTGTACATGGGGGAGGGCATTCTGCTCATCTTTGATATGGGCTGCTGCCAGGGTCTGGATCCCCTCTGCTCTTAGAAATAAGTGTTTAATATAAATGGTCTCAGGTTTTTGTTTTTTTTTTTTTTAACAGTTTCCAATGGACATTGTAACAAATCTCACAAGCTGCATGGCCTAAACTATACAAAAAATTTTCTCACATATTCTAGAGGTCAGATATCTGAAATAAAGGTGACAGCAATTTTGTCCCCCTCTGCAGACTCTGAGGGAGAAGCAGCTCCACGCCTCTCTCCCAGGTTCTCACAGCTGTCCTTGGTGTTCCTGGGCTTGGAGCTGCATCAGTACAGACTGAAGGAAATGGACAGTGGAAAAGGAAGCAAAGAGGAGCCAAGGGATGAAGGGGAAGGGAACGGGGAATGAGAAGAGGAGGTGGAAGACACCAGAAAGTGTTAAGGGCAGGTGAGGAGGACTTTCCACATCAGCCTTTGCTGAGGCAATTTTTAGTTGCTTTTCCAACTTTTAGTTTATTCCAACACAAATTTAAATTTGGTAAGAAAGTGATCTCTGTCTTGCATAAAACTCATTGCCCAGGCCAGTGCAAGGCCTTGTAACTGTCACTCCATGACTGAGCACCAGAGGGTGCACTGTCCAGCACAGAGTGACCTCCCTGGGGCTGGAAGGACTGCAGTCCTAGGTACACAGCCTCCACAGTTCTCAGGAGACTTTCCACAGAAGAAACTGAGCCCAGCCTTTTAACCTCCCCCTGTCCACGTCACAGACAGAGCCCACTGCCCTATACCTCTGCCGTCTTTGGGAGCAGAACTTCTGGGAAAGGTTTTCTGTAGCCACTGTCTCCATTTCCTCTTCTCACTTCTCCTCCACCCACTCTAGTCAGGCCACCTCTGTCCCTTCAACTCCACTGCAGCTGATCTGTCCAGATCACCAGTGTCTAAGTTCCCAATTCAATCTTCCCTCTTCAGTGCTCACACTCCTCTCTTGGATTCATGAGGCCATGCTGTCTGTCCTGAGTACCCCGGACTCCACTGTCACATCCTCCTCAGCCTCCTTGGCTGGCCCCACTCAGCTTCCCTTCTCCTCCCCTATGCCCTCCCCACAGGCCATCTCCTCAGTCTGTCACCATCCTCCAGAGTTTGGCCTCCAATGTTAGGTTCCAGAGACCTTTTAGTTTCTGTCTTGCGCTCTGTCTTGTGACATTAGTGTCACAAGGACAGTCAACAGCCCTAAAGAAGAGCAGACATATCAAGGAACTGAGATCTGTTGCCACCTTTCAGGAAGGAACTGAGGACTCAGCCAACAGCTGAGTGAGGGGGCCATGTCTGAAGTGGACTACCAACAATTAATCCTTCAGGTGACAACAGTACCTGAAGGTTAAGTGACTGCAGCCTTCTGAGACATCCTGATGCTGAATCTCCCACTAAGTTGCTCCCAGATTCCTGATTTCCATTCACAGATTGTGAGCATAATAAATGCTTGTTGCTTTAAGGCACTAAACTTGGTGGCAATCTCTGCAGCAATAGATGGCTAGCACACTCATGCTTTCACCTCTCTGACCTCATCTTTCAGTGCTTCCTCTCCATGATCCTACAACACCGTCCTTCCTTCTTCCTGGTTTGAAAAACACCAAACTTGTTCCTAATCAAGTTCCCTGCCTTCATCTTCCTTCTGGCTGGGGTTGTCTTAGCCTGGATCTTCACATGTTAGCTTCTTCTCTTGTTCAGGATTTGTTTTTTTATGATAGCCTCTATGCCTAAAGCAATTCGGGGAACACAATGGGTGATCTGTAAATATTAAATAAAATAATGAATGAAACTAGGTAGATATCATTTAGTAGAAACATAATCCTTGAGAAGATTCTACCAATTTCTGCAGTTAATTCTGAATATTTTTCTAGTAGTTACCTTTTGTTGGCTTGTTGACTTACAATATTGCAACTGTACTGAAGGTTCCCAGGACAGAGTTAAAGAGTTCAGAGAAAAGTTGAACAAAGGTTGTGTGAGAAACTTCAAAGACCCAATGTATCAAAGTCTACAAAGATTCAAGTTGTGCTGATTCATCCTGACCCATCTAAGTGCAAGAATACACTTACAAGTGCAAGACTCATATTAGGAGTTGTGGAAAATTCATCACAGAAACATGTGCCAGTATATTTCCACATTCCAGTGTGTTTAAAAATTTGGGGTGGCTGTTTTTTTGACGCAGGGGTTGCTGTTAGCATAAGTCACAAAATGTTCTGAGTTCTGTAAATCTACAGAAAATTTGCCGATTAGAAAGTCTTATGTTCTTATATTTTTAGTTACTTTTCTTAGGAAAAGCTCTGATGCAGATGCCTTTAAGTCCTGATGCACCGGGTTCTGAACAATTGTTGTATTCAGTCTGGCAAGGCAGTGCCAAGTCTCAGTAACTTGGGCATTAATTACCCCAGCTCCCAGCTCGGATAGTTGGCGACACCCACTGGGGTTGAGTTACACTCACCTGTTCCTTTGTAATTCTACCCCTTTTCCCTTTTGGGGATAAAATATTCAATGGACCAGCCTCCCCCAATAAAACCTCAGCTTGAGGTGTGCTCTCTTTATTGCCTGCCTTGCCTCCTTTGTGAGAGAAGGGTCAAAGGAGCCGTCAGTGGAACCCAAAGAAAAAGGTATTTCTCTATCTCTGCATGATCATTTCGTGACAGCTCAGTACACCTGGAGTGGTCCAGACTGGTTTAGTCATATGTAGGAGGCAACCCCCTGCCCCACCCCCCAGAGAACAGGGGAGATGGAGAAATGCATTTTTCCCCTGGAGGACACAGGGTGATAACATTCTCTGGAGAACAGTTTTTAAATTTCTTAGGTGGCCTCAGACAGAGTTGTCTTCCACTAGCAAAGCTAACATGAGACTAGTCAAGTGTTGGCTGACTATGTGAATCCCAAAATTAGTGATTTATTTTAAAAGCCAACTAAGAACAAGTGAAGTAAGGTTTTCTTTAGGTTTTGCCATAATAACAGTTTCTTTCACTCACTCATATTTAGGAAAACCCAGATACTGCTATCATGGCAGGGAAACCCATTCTTCACTACTTTGATGGACGGGGCAGAATGGAGAACATTCGATGGCTCTTGGCTGCAGCTGGTGTAGAGGTAAGTTCTGAGTTAGATCATTTCAAGTTGGATCATTTTAAGTTGTTAGATACTTTTCTCACATAAGCTAAGTGATGTTTCTTAGATACCATGTCAAGAATTGTGTCCTAAACAACACTGCCAATAATTAAGATACAGGCTTAACTAAATAAATTGTCAGTATTCTCATCAAAGAAGATAAAATTAATGTAAGAAATATACCACAATTGGTGGACTTTATTTGGATTTAAGGTTAAACACTATAGAACATAATTTATAAAAATTAGAAACATGATTACTGATTGAATATTGCTGATAGTTATTATTAGTGTTTTTGGTGAGATAATATAGTTATTTTTAAACAGTTTCTGTATTTTAGAGAAACTAATTGAACTATTTAAGAACGAAAGAGAGTCATGTGTCATTAACAATGAGGACACAGTCTGAGAAACATGTCATTAGGCAATTTCATTGTGCAAACATTATAGAGTGTACCAACACAAAACCGGGGTGGGGGTAGCCTCCTATATTCCTTGGCTACATTCTGTGACCTGTTGATGGTAAGCCACACACCTGTGTGACATGATACTGTACTGAATATTGTAGGTGATTGTAACACAATTATAAGCATTTGTGTATCTAAACATAAAAGAAGCACAGAAAAACATGGTACAAAAGAGGAAATTTGAGACACCTATATGCAGCACTCTATCAGTGTAAAGTTCTCAGGTCTGACAATTGCTCCAAGTGAGTCAGTGAGTGAGTGGTGAGTGAAAGTGAAGGCCCAGGTCACTACCCAATGATTTGGATGTGAAAAGTTCCCAAAGGGTGTGTCCCTACCCTGAGGCACCACTGGGTGTAGTGGAACTGTTTAGAGGTGGGGCCTAGTGGGAGGAGTTCTGTGGCTGAGGGCTTGCTTTTGAGGGGGTTGTGGGAATGCAGCCCCTGTGTCTCTCTTGGTTTCCTGACAGCCAAGAGGTGAGTGGTTTGCTCCCCCACGTGCTGCCTGCCATGATGTTCTGCCTTGCCACCAAGCAACACGGCCAAATGACAAGGGACCAAAACCTCTGAAACAGTGATAACCAAAATTAACCTGTCCCTCTTTAAAGTTGATTATGTTAGGTATTTCTTAAGATAATGAAAAGCTGATTTAGAACAATGCACACTTTATGAATCTGCACACACAGGCTATACTCAATTTATTAAAATGTTTTCCTTTCTCAATATTAAATTAACCTCAGTTTACTATAAATTTTTTACTTTACAAACTTTTATTTTTTTAACTTTTTGACTCTTGTGTAATACTTAAAATGCAAATATATTGTATAGTTGTGTAAAATATTTTTATTCCTTGTTCTCTAAGCTTTTTCCATTTTTTATTTTTATTTAATTTTATTTTTTTAAAACTCTTCCATTAAAAGTTAAGAAGCAAACACAAGTTCAGAATCAACAATATCACTGTCTTCTTCCTCCCCATCGTGTCCCACTGGAAGGTTTTGGGGCAGAAACATGCATGGATCTGTCACCTGCTATGATCACAGTGCCTTCTTCTGCTCTAGCTACTAAGGATCATTCTGATGCTTGCAATGAGGAGGCATCACTGTTCAGAATTATGTGCATGGTGGATTGCTTGTTTTGCTTTTTGTTCATTAACAAATACATAACTTATTTATAAATATATAATTTACTTGGAAGCAGATAATGTACCATGAAAAATTCTTACTATTAATGAGAAATTTGTTGTTTGGAGTATGTTTTCAACTTTTAAAAAATTTATTTTTAATACAGGCAATTCTCAGTGATCATAATTCTATATTATTTAAACACATTAGCTGAAATGCACAGAATTTTTTAATATTTATTTTTTTAGCTTTTAGGTGGACACAATATTTTATTTTTATATGGTGCTGAGGATGGAACCCAGTTTCTCATGCATGCTAGGCGAGTGCTCTACCACTGAGCCACAACTCCATCCCCACAATTTTTAATTTTTTTACAGTGCAAGGGATTGATCCCAGGGCAGTGTGTATGATAGGCAAGTGCTCTACCACTCAGCTACACCTGCAGTCCTTGTGTTTTCAATATTTTGAAGGATCTTATGGAGGTCTTCAAAGGCTTCTACTAAATGCTTCACTGAATTTTGTTCACCGATGTATTCACTAATCAATGGGAAATTTTCAATTCTTTTATAGTCTTATGGGACCATCTTTGTGTACAAAGTTAGTGATTGACTGAAACATTGTTATGGGGCATGACTGTGCATGAAATCCAGGACGAGACTTCCGTTAAGCTATTACCAGAGAAGAAGAGTGAGTGGGCACCTAGATGAAAGCCTGTTACTACCAGTTGATAATTGTTGAATTTGGTGAGGCATAAAGGAGCAACAATATACTCAGTTGTTTATTTTTATGCATGTCAGAAATTCCCATTAAAAAAAGATCTAAACTCTACCATATAAGAAAATGAATGCAATTATACTGAAAAATTATACTAAAAATACACACCACAATTGTGAGGTGGGCAGGAGGGAGGAGACAGTAACAAACTGCCTATTAACCATTGGAACCTATTCATTCAGCATAATTGTGTGGGCACCTGTAAAGAACCAGGTTTTGTAGTAGGTCCTGGGGATACACAGTGAACTAGACAGATGAGGTCCCTGCCCTTGAGCTGCCCACACATCTATGATGGATGGGATCAAGCATTTTTCAGGGTTGTGACCCAGGCATTTTTCCTGATACATGTACTATAAATTTCCAGATAGCCTTGACCAGACTCTTTGATAAATATGTCCAATCTCAAAAATCTTACCCCCTTCATATCACACGTAGACAAGAGTGATTCAAGCTGACAAGCATGCAAGGCGATAGAGTGAACTAATCAGGACTCATTTACCTTTTCTGCTCTCCAGTTTGAAGAGAGATTCATGAAAACTCGAGAAGACTTGGAAAAGTTAAGAAAAGGTAAGAACAAATATCTTAATACCTCTTAAGAGGGTTCCTAGTAGAAGATTGAAACACCAGACAACACTCTTGTATCTGTGAGGATGCTAGTGCTGACAGAGGAGAGGTAGAGAGTGGTTAAAATGTGAGACCTGGCAACTCTCTGGGGGCTCAAGAGTGAGACCATTGTGAGTCCTTGCTAAGGAACAAACTCAGGGCCCCTGGCATACCCTCTCCTTGTCTTCTTCATACGCTGAATGGAATTGGCTCCTGACTAGTCACAGGCTCTCCAACTTCTTGTAAAATATCCCTGAAGATGAGCTAAACACACAAATATTCAGGGACACACAATGTGTATGTATGGATGGGAAATTTAAACAGCTGTGAGACAAGAGGTTAAAAGTAAAGCAGTTGGATAAGTAAAAGAAGAAAACAAAAACTAAAAATAAATTGGTGTCTTACTTGAAGATTTACCAAGTGATAATTTTTCCTCTTGTATCTTCAGTCATTTCCACAACTGTTTTACATTGTGGACATGAGTGACCACATTTCATTCTGTTTGTTTTCTCCTTCCACAAGATGGGAGTTTGATGTTCCAGCAGGTGCCCATGGTGGAGATCGATGGGATGAAGCTGGTGCAGACCAGAGCCATTCTCAATTACATTGCTGCCAAATACAACCTCTATGGGAAGGACATAAAGGAGAGAGCCCTGTATGGTATATTTTTTATTTTAAATCAACAGATAACATGGGAAGGATTTAGGTCCTTCCTTAAGTGGGATAAACCATGGCTGGGGGATCATGAACAGCACCAGGCTGACTCTGGGCATATTGCAAAGTTTCTTTAGTATGAATGTGTAGAACACTCATATCCACAGTGATAGAATGTACATTAGTAGTTTCTGAGATCAGTTTGGGAGAATGCTGTGGAGATTCAGGAAGAGTAAGCATGGAGTGGATTCAGGGCAGTGTCATGTAGAGAGGATGCGGTTCATGGAGTTTTGCAAATCCTGAGGAAATATGAATTCAGGAAGATGGTGGAATCCTGATTCCATTTGCTTAGCTTTAGAGGTTAAAGTCTATGCAATAGCTTGGGACAGGGGAAGGATTTGAGTGTCTATACTTGAAGGCCTGGGAAGGAGATATCTAAAGCACCTGATTTTCCGTTTCTAGAAAGTACAAAACTGACAGGCAGGAACCTAAGCTACCCTCTTCTTGTATAGATGGGTCAAGTTGATGAGGGTTGGTGGAGTCTGGTGTCAAGACATGAAGGTGACGCAGAGCATTTCATGTAAACTTGAAGAAGCCCACTGACTCAGCACTGGTGTTTAGGTCTCCTCCCTCCTTGGCTGGAACTGCTTTATTGAAAATAAAATCTTGTTTGGAACTGTGGAAAGTTCCTCAAAAAATTAAAGAGTTACCAATAACCCAGCAATTTCAGTACTGGGAATATACCCAAGAGGAATAAAATACATCCTGAGTGGTATTTGTACACAAATGTTCATAGCTCATTATTCATAATCCCATCAAGTGGAAATAAACTAAACATGCAGTGGATGAATGGATGAAGGAAAGTTCTCTAGTCATACTGGAATAGTATTTGTTGTGCAAAGAGATGAATTACTAATGCATGTGGCAACATGGATGGACCTTGACAACATTATGTCACATAGAAGAAATCAGACTTAGGAGGCCACATATTGTATGGTTTATCTAGCATGAATGTGCAGAACACTCATATGTACAGGGACGGAAAGTAGATTAATGGTTTTGGTGCTGGTAGGAGAGGTGGTATACATGTTTTTGTAAACCATCCAGCATGGTAAAAATGTTGTGAACTGGAAAGTGTTAATATTTGCAGATTTCTGTGAGTGTACTAAAAAAATTCACTGAATAGTAGACTTTAACTGAGTGACAATTATGATGTGCACATTTGTCAATAAAACTGCTTTTGAAAAAGAATTTTGGAAAGCCTGTTTGAAGCAAAAGAAATGAGGCTCTCCTATACTATACACATACTATAACTATATAAAGAATTGCACCAAATCTTGGGCAGGGGCCTCAAGAAATGCAATCATGATCAGCATTGGCAACAGTACATGGAAAAGGTTAGGGAACATGATTTATGAGAAATAATTGGGAGCACGTGATTTCTAACATTGAACATGGAAATGATCCTGTGCTATATGATAGGAAGAGCGAGGGAGAGGGACTTGTCTGAGAGGCTGGGCCAGGGACTCTGTCTTCAGTTTACCTATGCACGGAGAGCATAGCCTATATGTACTACCAGTGTTTACAGACACCAAGTTCTCTAAAGACCTTAATTTGTGATGTCCCAGTATACTCTTTGGAATCGTATGTGGTCAGGTGTATAACAAAAATTTAGACATGTCTTCCCTGTAGGTTGCTCTAAGAAATAAATGTTAATCTATAAATAAAACCCAGAAGATTGTAACTGGATTTTGAAGGGACCCTACTGGAAGTGAATTATTTTGCTATTGTATGATGCACTCTATTTTCTTGGATTTCTTTTTTTAAATTGATTTTTAAAAAAACAAATGATGGTGGAATGCATTACAATTCTTATTTCTTGTATACAGCACAATTTTTCATATCTCTGGTTATATATAAAATATGTTGACACCAATTTGTGTCTTCATACATGTACTTTGGTTAATGATGTCCATCACATTCCACCATCCTTGCTAATCCCCTGCCCCCTTCCTTTCCCTCCCTCCCCTCTTCCCTATCTAGAATTCATCTATTCCTCCCATGCTCCCCCTCCCTACTCCACTATGAGTCAGCCTTCTTATATCAGAGAAAACATTCAGCATTTGTTTTTTGGGGATTGGATAACTTCATTTAGCATTATCTTCTCCAACGCCATCCATTTACCTGCAAATGCCATGATTTTAATCTCTTTTATTGCTGAGTAAAATTCCATTTTGTATATATGCCACATTTTTTTAATCCATTCATCCATTGAAGGGCATCTAAGTTGGTTCCACAGTTTAGCTATTGTGAATTGTGCTGCTATAAATATAGATGTGGCTGTGTCCCTGTAGTATGCTGTTTTTAAGTCTTTGGGGTATGAACCGAGGGGAGGGATAGCTGGGTCAAATGGTGGTTCCATTCCCAGTTTTCTGTTTTCTTGGATTTCAAAACTATAAAATCTGTGACAGAAGGCATTTGACAAAGTACTTTTTTTTGCTTTCAGAATTGATATGTATTCAGAAGGGATGGCAGATTTGAATGAAATGGTCCTTGTTTATCCATACCTTCCATCTAGTGACAAAGGTGGAAGACTTACCCAGATCAAAGAGAAATCTAGAAACCGTTACTTTCCTGCCTTTGAGAAGGTAAGTGGAATTGGTTTCACCTATAGGACACCCTCTAAATTGAAGATTGACAGGATGAAACTGGGTCAGCCTAGTGTCCTTCTCAACTATATTGCCACCAATACAACCTCTATGGGAAGAACATAAGGAAAGAACACTCTATGGTATTATTTTCTATTCTTATATCAACAGGGGAAGGATTTAGGTTATAACTTGAGTGAGAAGGACCAGGGCAGGGGGATCATGACCAGCATCAGGCTGGGCCTGAGCACAAACACTGGTTTTCTCTTTATGTGGGTGAGGCTTGCTTGTTGATGGGACAGTCTAGTGGAAAGGAGGGAAGAGTCATCTAGAACAGGATGCAGTTCATGAATACAGCACAGCGACGGAGTTTAGAGGGCATCTTAGTCCTAACAGGTTATCTTAGCACTTAGAATTGCCATATGAATAATGCCATAGAGGGAGTTCTATGCAAAAAATATATATTTCTCATAGTTCTGGAGACTGAGAAGAGACAGGTCAAGGACATGGTGGATTGGTATCTGGAAAACTTTGCTTCTTGGTTCAAGAATGGCTGACTTTGGGCTGTGTTCTCCTATGACAGATGGGTCCAAGGTCTCATTATAAGGGCAATAGTGCCATTCCTGGGAACTCTTCCCACAGGACCTAATTATGTCCCAAAGGCCCCACTTAACAGCATTGGGATCACAACATGTGAGTTTGGAGGGACTCAGATATTCTTTCCTTAACAGAAGCAGGAGAAAAACAGTGCCTAGGATTCCTTGGACATTGACCCTCACTTCCAGAGGGCCTTCTTGCATACTGATCTAGTACCCTGGCACTCAAGGCATTGCATAAAGATAGACTATGAGGAAGTCTTGCACTAGTGATACCAAGTTGAAAGTTTTAATTACTGGGAATCAAACTAGAATTCTCTATGTACAGGATTCATAGTACACAATTAGCCCTTGGGCGGTGGGAAGTTCTGAGCACACTGGAGGTAAAGCTAAAAGAGTGCTTTAAATTGTAGCATAAATATGATGTTGTGTTTTGTTCTTGAACCAAGCATTGTTCATACTTCTCTGTGTAAACTTAATTTGATAGGGTGGCTGACACAATATTTTGTTTAATTGGTAGTGCCATGGGTTTTTTCTTTATTCTTCCTCATTTCAATATTGCTGAGATATTTATACAAATATCACATATTACCCAAAAATTCTTTTGTGAAAATTGTATTACATTCAGAAATTGAGAGAAAGTTTAAAGAACCCATAAGTATGCATCTCTGAGATAGCAGAATTTACATCATATCATGTCAACTCTATCATGTGTCCTTCTCTCCACTCCTGTCTCACCACATATTACTTTTCCCATGCATTTCAGACTAAGATGCAGATGTCAGTGCAGCTCACTCCTGTATAATGCAGCATATATTTCAGACCATCATGCTGAAAGCCCATGTCACAAAAATATGATGATTCAAAGTCACTTTAGATCCTAGACACATAACCAAGACATTAAGAAATCAGACAAGAGGAAAAACAGAGACACTGAAATGATGTACACATAGGGAAAGCATGCTTATAAAAGTGGAGATACTGTGTACAGAGACTGGAGAGAAAGGAGAGTGGAACATCTGTTGCTCAATTTAGAGTGTAGGGCAGATGGAAACATGGCCCAGCAGATGCCACGCCCTTAGCATGTGTGGAAGATGGAGGGCATGGTGAGCAGTGTGAACAACACAGGGATGTGGGGATGAGAATAAAAGGATCACGCAGGATTTCACAGAGGAGGGAGCAGTGACCCACTTCTGATTCTCCCTCATGAGTCAGGGCCTCCATAAAGATCTTCTGGGTAGCTCCACACCTTCCCAGGAGGCAGCAGTTGGGGAGAGTTGAGCTCAGAGGCTCTGGGACAAGCTGGGGCCCCAGTCTGGCTATGTGTGTTCATGACCTGACTCCTCCCATTCTGCAGGTGTTAAAGAGCCATGGGCAAGACTACCTTGTTGGCAACAGGCTGAGCAAGGCTGACGTTCTCCTCACTGAACTTCTCTACAATGTGGAAGAACTGGACTCCACAGTTCTTGCCAACTTCCCTCTACTGAAGGTGCTCTCTCTCAATTCCTCATAGAGACCCACACCTCCCATCAGTAATGTAATATCTAAACACTGGGGCTGGTGGTGTTCTGACTTCTAGCCATCTCTAGGCTTCACCCTCCCTTCTTTGGGCTCCAAAAAGATCTTCTAGGCCCTGGTTCTGAGGAAAGAAAAGAATCTTGGTATACAAGGAATTTTTAAGGTGGATGCTACTCTAAGTATATTTGGCTTTGTATAATAAGTGAAACCAAGGGCCCAGCTTTCTCCTCCCAGCCCCTATTCCATTTGGATTCTAACCATGACTTCCTTGGGAATCCCCTCCTCCCATGTATGCCCTTGTCTTTCCATGTTGAACAAGTCTCCTTCCATCTGTTTTCCTTCCTCCCCCTCAGGTTCCCAGCCTCAAACATTATATTTCACTCTGCAAAAACCCACCCTCAACAATCCCATCTTTATCTCTCAGTGTGATAATTTGTAGTGACTGCCACCTGGATTTGATGGTCTCTTTCTATCATCGTTTCTAACTCAGTTTTCCCATATCTTCTTTTCACTCTGTTTGAGTGATTCTTTTATCCACATGTGTCAGGCTCATGTCACATATTTTTCTTATATCATATAGTAGCAATGAATCTACAGGATTAAAGTGTAAGGCAGATGAGAAGAATGCTGGAATGGAATATAGTTTTAAAGAGAAGTTGGGGAAATTGACATTGAGCTTTATTTTCTAGCTCTTATCTTTTTTTCTCATTCATTGTGTTTCCCAGACAGCATGCTGTGCTGGTGGAGGGATTCAGACTTCCTGATTGTGTTAATGGGTGTTGGTTTGGGCTCTACTCTGAGGCTTGTTCTTCTGCATTGCAGGCCCTAAGAACCAGAGTCAGCAACCTTCCCACAGTGAAGAAGTTTCTGCAGCCTGGCAGCCAGAGGAAGCCTTTGGAGAATGAAGAATCTGTAGAAGCAGTAAAGAAGATTTTCAGTTAAATGAGGCAGACATGGAGACATAGCACATACAATACTGGGCTTTATCCAAAAGATGATCTTGATTACTATGAGGCTAATAAAGTTTTCCAAAGTTTATGTGCTAATTTAGTTAGAAATGAACTATGTAGTCTTCTTTGCAATGTAGTCTATTTGGTTTTGGTCAAGTTGATAATCATGATCATCTTCTGGGATATCTTTTTAAATTTAAATAGAGAGAGAAACTTTCTTAGGCTCTGATTTAATTTTTAAAATGTCTTATAACATCTGTCATGTAGTATCTCAAAAATTAAAGTACAGCTAGGCATGGTGGTAGAAATTTTCCTCTGACACTCTAGCTTTTGCAAAAATATCTTTTTTTTATGTTTTGCTACCTTTCTCACCAAAATACACAAAAACAACTTATAAAGAACCAATTCTTTCTACTTTTACCCTGTTTATTCAGTCTATATTTATGTCCAGCATAAAATATTTTGTGTTGCTGGAGCCAGATATCAATGATGAAAAAACCTGATACATTCTCTGCATCATGGCAATGGTTCTAGTGAGAGAAAGAAACAAAAAAAAAATAGATAAACCTAATCTAAAATCATATATACCATGTGTACCACCTTCCTAAGACTGCTACAAGAAATTCCTACAAACTTGGAGATTTTAAATAATGAAAATTCATTTCCTCAGAGTTCTGGAGCTAAGTCTAAAGTCAAGCTACAACTGTTCTATGGTGTCTCTGAAGGCTTCAGGGAAAGATCCTATTTAGCTTCTTCCTAGTATCTGATAGGTGCTGGCAATTCTTAAAAGAGTTTTTGGAAAAAAAAAATTAAAAATGTCGCAACACTCTAATCCCTGCCTTCATGGTCACAGGACATTCTCCCTGTATACGTTGTCTGTCTAAATTGTCCTCTTCTTACGGGGATACCAGCAGTTGGATTAGGAGCCACCCTTACCAGTATGACCTCAACTGAATTATTTCTGTAGAAACCCTTTTTCCATATAAAGGGTTAGGACTTAAACAGCCTTTTGTGAGTACATAACTTCTCCCAAAACACCATGCTCAGATAAGCTAATGCTGGGAGTTCACCATCAGTAGACATCTGCTGGGATCTGCAGGCCAGACAAGTTTCTCAAGGAGAGGAGTATATCCCTCTGAGGTGAGATGAGCAGAAGGAACAATCAGTATACATGGGTGGCACCAGCATTGGGCAGCAGGGGTAGAATCCAGGCAGAGGTCAGCACAATCAGTGGCCAAGAAGAGGCCAAGCACCAAGTATCCGAGGAAAGAGAACACAGCTGCTCTCAGGGGAGCATTAAAGCTTAAGACAGGGAAGAGTGACCCTGAGGGGACACCAGGGAACAGGGCTCAGAGTATGGAGTAAAGACTTTGAATACCATAGAAAAAAGTTAGATTTTGTGGTGAGGAAAATAGAAAGTCATAGAGTAAAACCACACACCTTATCTTGCCAAAATGACATAAAATCACATTTAAAAACTGTTCTTTAAAGTAACTCAGAACAATGACATTTTCCCCCACTGAGAGTCTCTTACCCATGTTGAAAGATAAGTTTAGGCACATTCAAATTTTAACAGGTTTATTTCAGTAGACATAAATTCATGTATCTGGCATTAACAAACCAAAATGATTAGGCCACTACCCAGGTAGATGTGAGAGGAAATCTTTATAAGGTAATTATGGAAACAAGAACAGGAAAACATTTGTTTGGTTAAAGTGTAAAATCACTGATTAGATGTCAGCAGTCAGTTTCTGATCAGATGAGGTTTAGTACACCTTCCTGATGAGTTGGGTTTCGGTTTACATACATGAGAGTCAGGGACCTGCAGCTCTCTCATCCTAGTGGCCTCCCTATTAACCATTCTAAATACCACATTAAATCCAGTAGCCTGGGGGTTTACTCCATTCCAGGAATCAAGTAGCTCAGAGACTAATACCTGAAAATCTGAATGGTCCTCTGCTGCTATCTCCACATACTGCCCAGTCGTCTCAGAGATTTCCTGATCTGAGGCTTGGTCAAAACATTGTCCACCATTTTTCCACCTGAGCAGGAGCATTCCCATGCTCCACGTGAAGGGAAGGAAGAAGAGGTCTCCTTCAAGTCTGCAATCTCAAAATATAGATTGAGATACATAGTTATTTGTCCTATGGCAAGCCCATGGGATCTAGGGAATTGAATCTCTGGCTTCGTTACAGCTAATCATTTTTTTAGTGTAAGCCTCCCCACAGATGGCTGTGGTAGGGCAGAGGGTGACCTGGGACTTTCTGGCTCATACTTTTAAAATATTTATTCAATGTTGGGTCAACTGAGACCAAACCAGATGTTCCTTCCTAGACAGCTTCCTAAAGTCTTTCCAGTTCCCTTTACACATTTACCTGCTTGCTCTCACCTGGAGACTTTTCAGGGAATTAAAAGAAAGCCTCTGTTAAATGTCTTTTCAATAGTATATTCTCAATCCGCCTTGGGGACAGAACAAAGGTATTTTGCATGGTGATGTACATGAGTCTTTGGGAGTCTGAGGCAAAATTCTACATTTTTAATCTGGAATGTTTCTCAAAAGACTGTTTTTAAGGCCTATTCCTCAGCTTGGCACTACTGAAAGTTGGTAGAAATCTTTTTTAATTATTTATTTATTTTAAATACATGACAACGGAATGTATTACAATTCATACACATATAGAGCACAATTTTTCGTATCTTTGTATAAAGTATGTTCACGCCAATTCATGTCTTTATACACATACTTTTTTGCATTACAATTCTTATTACACATACATCACCACATTTTTTCATCTCTCTGGTGGAAATCTTTAGAAGGGGGACTTTTACCTCCCTGGAGGTGTGGCTTTCAACAGGACTGTAGGAAGCTCATCACTTCCCTCCCCTCACTTCACCTTCTCTCTCTCTTTCCTTCTTGGAAAACCCTGAGGTGAGCAGTTTGCCTCTGACACATGTCCTTGCCAGCCATAATATACTGGCCCACCACAGGAACAAAAACAAAAAGGCCTAGTGAACACTGACTGAAACGCCTGGAACTGTGAGCCAAAATAAACCTTTCCTCTTTTAAGTTGATTATCTCAGTTCCTTTGTTACAGAAAGGGAAGCTGACTAACACACTCTAGAACAAAGATTTTTTTTAACTCATCAGATTCAGCACTCCTTAGCTTATTACATACATTTAGAATTTCTTTTTATCCTGGAGTGAATTTCCTAAGATTTACTTCATTGCTCTTTGTGCTGGGAATACAAGATTGAGGAATGCATAGTAAGCCACAATGAAAAAACTGAACACAGGGACATTTTATAAAAATCACAAAGTGACTGGATATTTGACAATGATTTATGACTGATTTGCTCCACAGCTTTACCATCTTTATCTGACACATCATTTATATTAGTTAGAAAATAAGAAGAAATATATTTTTAATTTATGGCATATATGAAGATTTATATATTATATTTATCACAACAGATATTAAATATTTTTAATGTTTCTCCTGGTAGTCTGTGATATAAAAATATAAAGAAATCAACATTTGGTTTTTAATCTTTATATCCATCATTTTCAACGAGAGGCTATATGTTCATGTATTTGAGGTAAAAGTGGATGTCAACTTATCTGACTGAACTAGGGGGGTTAGTTCAAGATGTGAGGAAATATGAAGGCTAACTTTTTAGTTTTTCAAAATATCTTGAAGAACAAATGTATACCAGCAGTGAATAAGCATATTTGCCCCATGAAGAAAATGGGTCTTGATATTTATTTATTTACTTACTTATTTTTGTGGTACTGGGGATCAAACCCAGGACCTTGTGCAAGTGAGGCAAGCACAGTACCAACTGAGCTATATCCCCAGCCTGAAAATGGGTTTTGAAAGGAATATAATCTATATTAACTCCAGTAGTAAGTTAAAGGAGTTATATCTCTTTGGTGGTTCTGGTATCATGGGGACAGGGTGATATTAGCTATATTTCTAATAGCTAGAAGAAAGGCTATACTTCCCTTTGGAAGTATGTGTACTTGGTGGATTGCTTAGTCTTTAAGTCTCAATTTTCTCTATTGAAAATAGAAATGGTTATGTTTACCTTTGTGGGCTATTGAGAAATCGCAATGAAGTAGAATATGCACACTCAACAATAGGGACTCAGTACATGGATGTTCACTCTTTCTCCAGTTCCTAGGAGATGAGTGTGCAGCTGAGCACATTGGGTAGCCCATAAATCCTTTGTCTTTCCATCCATCCAACCATTCATCCATCATGTTCTATTCATCTTCTATCCATGTATCTATCTCTATCTCGGTTTTGTCCATAAAACTCCAGAGCAATTTCCATGTATCAAGAGATGATGATGGCTATCGGAAGCAAAGTACCAGTCTGGCTTGGTCTCTGACCTGAAGGAGTTTAAATCTAGTCATCAACACACCATTATAGATACCAGACATATCAGAATGAGTCTACTTTATGGGTTTCTGGAAATTCCAACACAAGAACCCTGATTCTGCTCACCAGGCAAGTCAGCACAAGGGGAGAATCCTGCCAGCCTCAGAGAACTGAAGACCCTGCCCCCTTCTCCCCATGGGGACTGCTGGATACCAGGTTAGTATCTGTATATCTCCAGACTGAATGAATTTTGCCCCCCAGGTGTCTGCTTCCTACCTTTTAAAATAGGGTCACAGATCATCCTTCTCTAAACCCTCTCTGCAGCCTCTTGCAACATGCTTTTCTTCATTGTCATTTCAGTATCTTCTCCCAGAGATGCTGCACTATGTCCTGTGATTCTGGTAGACCCTGGTTTCTCTGACACCTAGATTTTCAGACACTCTCCCTGAAACTCAGTCTCTCCTTTATAGAAACTTTCCTTCTTCTCAATATTAACATTATTGCAGGGCATTGCTGGCTTTTAAATTCCAGTTCTTAATGACTCATGCCTTCCAGCTAAGTGTTCATGTGCTTTTAAAACTAATTAAATGCTCCAGTGATTGTCTGATTTTTGCATGTAGACTTCTGAGTGTTAGCACTTGGGAAGTCATGTCTCCCAGGGATCCTCAACCAGGTGTAGTGCTGCTTTGCTAGTGCTGAGGATGGTGGGCAATTGTTT